ATTGTTGATCAAAATAGTCTAAATGGTCGTACGAAAATTTTGACTGCGCATCAAAAACCATGCATGGGCGCAGATTGTACATCCATTAAAAATAAATTTAATAATTTTTTTAACATGCGCAAAAAAAAAACTGCGCATGGGTGCATTATAAGCATGATGCGTAAAATACAAATTTTCTAATTTTATATTTATTGATACTAGGAATATAAATATAATGCTAATAGATGCATAAAAACTTAAAAATAGAAAAATAGATTTAATTTAAGAAAAGTTTATTTTAAAATATGTTTAATATTATAAAAATTCTATATATAAGTAGGTATTCTTAAATATTTATAAAAATTAGATCTTATTAAATAGAATAAGATTTTTTATTTTTTATAATATTATATATATATATATAAAATAAGTTGTATTAATTATAAATGAAAAATATATTGGTAAGAAATAATTTATTAAACTTACAAATGATATGTAATATTATAGTATATATTTATTATTACAAAATGTATAATATTAATCACTTGTTTTTATTATTTTAATAAAATATATCGAATTAATAAATAAAAAATAAAATTGAGGTTACAAGTCATATTAAATCATATGATCCATAACTTAATTTTAATAGCAAACCACTCATATCGATATATATATATAATCTTTATATTTTAAGACATTATATTAAAGTGAACATTTATATTAGTCAATGAGACACGTGTTGTCGATCACGATTATCTCGGCGAATATCAGATAAAAAACTAAATGATGGTTAGCCGCGTACATTTCCACACAGAATTTTTTTATTCGTGAATAAGGATTATTTAACAAGTCGAAAGGCCGAGTGAAGCTTTAAAGATGGATCTATTTGAACATCTCCAATGTGTCGTGTGTAGGGAGTTAAAGCCTAATCCTCAAGAAGTACAATGCTGTCACAGACTTTTTTGTTTAGATTGTGTCGAAAGTTTGACAAACACGAGAGTTTGTTCAATCTGCCAACAAGAAACTAGCTTCGTTGAAAACACCTTTGCATCTCAATTGATCAACGTTAAGCTCAGCGATGATTCCATGTCCGAAGATGATTTCAGCTTTTCCCCCAATTTTATCGGAACAAATTTACAACAAACGATTATCAATAGGGCCAGCAATTATTTATCGCGAATAACCCCTAATACTAGGAATCGTTCCGATCCTAATGCTTTTCACATCACAATATTAAACTTGGAAGATAAAAGAATCAATATCTTCGTTGAAAAAAGCGATACAATCAAAATTGTCAAGTTCAAGCTCGAACAAAAAGATGGTAAGATATTTTATTTTTATGAAAAAGATATAGATCATGCATTTAATGGTCATTTTTTTTCAGGCACGGCTCCTCAATATCAGCGGTTAATCTTCCGGGGTAAACAACTTGAAGACAATTATACCATTTCACATTACAAGATCGAGACGGATAGTGTTATACATTTAGTGAAACGGTATAATGGATCGTAGAAAATTGTTTCCCGTTACTCTACTGGTTAATAATTTATTGTTCTTTTCTTTTTCTCAATGGTATTTCAGAAGTTTATTAAATTGTTTACGTGTATATTATATATATGGTATAGTGGGTGCATCCAAAAACAAACGTGTATTCTTGTATGTAATAAAGTTGACATATTACAATCATATGATGTGAATACTCAAACATTAACTACCATTATCTGATTTAGCTTAAGATCATTGTTTCATGGACACTTAAAATAATCATTAGGGTGAAGCCCCACAAAGAGTCACAATGCCTGTAAAAGATGTTAATGATTTCGAAGAGTTTAGGAATTATGGGCGTCAGATTAATGCCCCATGTGTTATCCTTGCAGATTTTGAGTCATTAAAGAAGAAGTGTGACACATTATTCTTTTATTTTTAGGATGAATGAAGTTGGATTTTCAATGTTGAGATATTAGGATCGTGAATTAGGATTTCCTAAATATAAAAATGTAAGACAAATTTTCTTGTTAACCATACGATTTATACTTGATCAAGTAAATCTCCCGATTCGTAAAAATGTTAAAGCTCTAGCAAATCTACTAAGAAATTAATCAGACCAAAATAATAAGAAAAATTCAACATCACCTTTAGTCTAATAAAACAAAAATTAAACAAATTTCATTAATACCTTTACTTCGTTTATTTTCACAATCACCACGATACAGAAAAGAGTTCTATGCGTTTAGCTTTATCACAAATCAATCGTGTGTAACATCACTAAATTGAAATATATTTTGGTTTTCCTAAAAAATAAAGGTGCTTAATTAATAAATAATATACAGAAAGTTACTAAAAATTGCTTCATTTTAATTTTAATATAGAAATAAATATATTAAATAAAAAAACATGTAAAATATAAAATATGTAAAATTTCTAATAAAATATTATTTTTTAAAATATAATAAAAATTTTTAAAATTAAATTATTTTTGATTATAAAATTTATACATATATAGTATAAACTACTATAGTTAAAAATAAGTTTCTTCTTAGAAAGAATTAATATTTATATATATTGCTCTTTTATATGTAATTTACAAAATTTCATCTGTATTTAAAATGTCTTTTTATGTATTCTTGTAAATAAAATTTATAAGATTAATAAATTAATAATCAAACAAATTATCTGAAAGAGTTAACTTTGCAATTTCTAATTTTAATTTTAATTTTACCAGCTAATTTCATAAATCATGGACCATTAATAATTTTTTAGTCACATTCAGTCACAATATTTTATAGTAATTTTATTATAAAATATTTTCAGTTGAATTCAGTCGCAATTTATTAGTAATTCACAAATTATGAAATTAGCTGTAATAAATAATAAATTTAATTAAAAGATAATATAGAAAAATAAATTAATGTAACATTTATAAATTTAATCCTATTAAAGAATTTTTCATTATAACTTATGAATAGAGCTTTAAATCATATCAGGTTAACCTGTAACCTGACCTGACCTAACCTGAAAAATTCAGGTCAGGTAGACAAATTCTTAGGTCAACATCAGATCGGGTTATGTAAGCTGATATGGATAGCTGATTTGTAGAAAGAAATGTTAAAGAAATTAAAAATAATACTTGTATATGAAAAATCTATAATACAAAAGAATAATTTTAGAAATATGTATTAGAAACTTTAGTCTAATAGTCTAAAATAATCGCTTATCTTGCTTTGATCCTGTTAACTATTAATACTATTTTATTATATTATTATATAGTTATATAAAAAAAAGAAAATACTTAAATTATTTTTAATATTATTATATAAAAAATTTTTATTATTAAATTATAGTTGTTATTTAAAATATACTGCTATTTTAAAGCTTATTTTAATAAGTTTAATTATTTTTTATTCACATTAAAATTTCTTTTATTATTTAAAATATAAAATTATTTCATTATAATTTTAATAGTTTTATTATAAGTAATTATCAATAATTGATTCTTTTTTTCTTTTTTTTTTATTTATTATAAAATGTATTTTTATTTTACATTTTAAATCAGCTTTATATAAGTTAATATTTATAGTAAATTAACAGTATTTTTATTTTAAAATATTACTAATTATACCTTTACTAATATTATACTTAGGGTTCCTCAAAATTGAATCAATTAAATATTTAAGCAATTTGAATTTGATTTGATTTTTTTCAAATTGAATTGAATTGAATTGAATTGAACTTAAATATTTGATCGAATCAATTTGAATCAATTTGAATTTGATCGAATCGAATCAAATTGAATCAAATATTTGTCAAAT